AGTGTAAGCAAACCCAAATACCCAACCCGGTTCATCCATCTAACCCTAATATATCCAGACCTTAATCGCCAACATCTGGATCACTGCCATGATCTAGACTCTATGATTTCGGTTACAAAAAAGACAAGTAAGGCGTACATTCCCTTTAATATGCCCCAAACTATTGTGAATTCGATCTACTGTCCACTGAAGTATATCTCCTGGCTGATCCCATTCGAATTTCATTTCGATGAGACATGATGCGTATTTGTCTTCTTGAATACATTTTAATGTGAGGATATAGTCAACTGTTAGATCAAATTTACGACCTTTTTCTTTGTCCTGGCCTATATATCCGATAAGTTTTTCCTGAATAGACGGTCTCAATTTGTGCTTTAGCTGTCTTTTCTTTTTTGCCTCCTCAATCTCTTGGGCAATTTCAGGAGGTAATGGAGGCGCTTCAACCCGAATGAGTTGGTTTAAATATTCCACACGACCAACTGCCAAATATATTAGATTATCCCAGGCTAAGTTTTCATCAATAATCCAAACACGCTGTGGTGACTTAAGAGTCATCCCCTGACTAGTATGAATAGTCATAGCATATCCAAGTTCCCAATCTATGACTTTTTTATCCGCCAACATATCTTTTAAGAATTTGTCAGGAAGTGTATTTAAGGATAAGTATACTATGTCATTTTTTACTAACTCCTTCTTTTCAGATAGGCCAGGGATCTGGACAAGGCAGTTTTGTTTGCGTCCATCTCTTGGCCTATAAATTAATGGGATTGGAATTTCAGGATATTTTATTTGATGAAGTTCTAAACATTTTTGGGAAGCAATTCTCCGGGAAAGTATATGTGCTGATAATATGCGATCTGAGGGAGTCCATTCCTTTTTGAGATGTTCCCATTTTTCTATAGTTGGGAGAATTCCTCGAAATAATTTTGATTGTATTCGATTATTTTGTCGACGCATAGCTTTTTTGAGTTCATGTAATTTAGGACATTTTGCACGATAATCAGTTAAAACTTCTTCGTAATAATCAGCATGCTCTTTTAACCAATTATGTGGCAT